GCGGCACGGGCTAGAGAAGAGATGGAGTGATGTGGTACATGAGGACGTGGAGCTGAGTGGACTGCCGATGACTGGTACCAGCGGTGTCAAGATCAGCCTCTGTGAAGGAGGCTCCTGAAGGACGCTACTTGACAGTTGGAGGCAGTCACCCTCCACCAACAATGGACGGCAGTGGAGCGACGCTCACAACAACGAGTGGAGCGGCTGGCGGTTAAATCGCAGCAAATTGGCACTGGTGCTGCATCTGCCAATCATCTCAGTCAGTCGACCCATGGCACCTGGGTCTGTCCCGTGACCTCCTGCCAGCGGGCGTTCGACACTTCACGTGGCCTTAACGTGCACATAGCCTGGCACAAGCGGCCGTGATGACGTCACCGCCACTAAGTGGAGCATTGTGGTTGTTATTAATTTTTAGAGATGACATCTTGTTTGCTGTGACGAAAAGCAAGTGGGCTTGGGGCAGGCAGCATCGCTGTCAGGGATTATAGCCAGTTGGCAAGGCTGGTGATAGCGTGGAAGCCAAAGAGATGGAACCATAAGATCGGCTCGTTTGCAGGAGTACCATGCGTATGAGAAGGTGTGGAAAAGCCTTCATCCAGCAGTAACTAGACCATAGCTGACGATGACGATGGCTACGACGTGGGTAGTAGAGCGATGGTTGTGGGGGACCGTAGCGTTTCAGACACCACGCGCTGCCGACGTCAGCCGTGGCTGGGAATCGAGCCGATGTTGCCGTGGGTTCTCTGTATTATAAGCACTCACGGCACGCCCACACACACATATTCATCTCACGTACAGGGCGCACGTTCCCCATTGTCCCCGCCATCAAGTCCTGAGCCAGCGCCAAGTTTTTCACACCAGGTGGTCATCGTAAGTAGACCTCAGAGTGATTACGGGCTAAGTCAACCGTGACCGGGACTTGATCTCATCGGCTTAACAACCAGGTATTTCTGCTGGAGAGCTCTGGTGATGACTTGACTCACACAGACACACCTCATAATGCGGGGGGCAATCCATACCCCCGCTGGGCGAAGAATTTATTTAATGAATTAGTCGTGTGGTGAGGATTTGGCCGGGCCCGAGACCTCATTAAGTAAACGTAATGGGGTTTTACGTGCAGGCATGGGGGCACAAACACCCCTCGCGCCTACCAAACGGGCGCCCAGGGATATTTCGGGTCCACACAGTAGATGGACAAAATTGCTGCAACACCTCAAGCGAAGTCCACTACGATGTCTCCTTTATAGAAATCAACATCAGCCACGATCTATCTACTGCTGGGTGAACGCCAACCAAGTCCGTCGCCATCTCATGAGCTCGTGCGATGCAACAATACATCGAGCTCCTCTGCACGCGAGCCGATCTCATCACTCCATCTCCCTTGTGGATGTACTCTGAGATGCGTGTTCCTCCTTTGGCTGCAACTTTGTCGTCAGTCTCGACCAGTGCGCCCTGCCCAAGCCAACTTGTTTTTTTTTTTTCTTAAAAAGACATCAACAATTATGTCTTTCGTATCCATCGTTGTCTTTCTCTATCCGTCCCTCGGTGATAATATCAAGTGTGCGGATGCAGATACCTGATGCATCAATTAAAACACTCTCCAGTGTGCAACTGCGGTCATCCAGAAGGGACCGTCCACAAATACGAAGGAGACGACAAGGCACTAACACTCCGCCGCTCCTGACGCGGTTTTCAGGACTTGACCACCGGAATGTGAAATTGTAGTCGATGCTCTGCATCTACATCAGCGGCTGTACGACGAGAAAAATAACTTGAAGAAGAAGAAGATTTCAAGCATGCCCTCTCCACGCTTCTTTGGATGCCCTTTAGCTGTCATTCCAATTTTCTTTTCCAGCGTGCATGTTAATGACCCACATGTCACGGCACAGTCAAGGTCAAAAGACAATCACGGCCTATGCTCGTGACGCGACCACACCTCACCGTAGATTTCTCCCTTCTTGGCAAAGTGACGGAAGGAAATGTCGATCTTCGAACGTCCACTCGGAAAGTCTCATCATCGCCATCTGCTTCGCGTTCTTCATTGGGATATTTTAATATTCAACTCATTGTTGTTCAGCGGAACTCATATATGTAGGCCCACATTGACACAGGGGCTTTATGGGCAGCAGCGCAAGGCCACGAAATTTCGTGGTCCCAAATTGAACATATATCGCACGTTATAATGGTTTATATTACTTGTCGGGTTTGTGAAATGATAACCGGTAAATGTGGTAAGTCAGAATCCAGTAATCGTTTCCAGTGGAATGTTAATAATGAATGCACCGATTGGCACACGCGGACGTCCAAACCGCACGGCAGCCTAATTCACCTCGTGGTAATTGATGGGCCCCACATTCAAAGTTAATGGGTAAAATTTGCAACCCTGTAATTGGGCCCCAAAGTGACAAGATGTTAATTAGCTCGCCTGGTATACAGGAGGTCCTGAGTTTGATCCCGACCCTGACGCCTGCTGTATATTTGGAGTTTGCAGGTTTTCTCTCTGCATGGTCACGTGATTTTTCTCCGGGTTGTTCCCTCCACATTTAGAAACATGCGTTTAAAGTATTTGTCTGATCTACATTTCCACATGATAAGCCACTTTGTTGAGCTACCATTTGTGGCCAAGTCCCTTCTGAAAAAGAGCTATGTAGCTCAGTGGGGCCTTACCTGGTAAAATACAAAATAGTTCAGTAAAATAGTTTATATTCTTAGGTTTTTTCGGTTAAGTCACGTAAGTAAAACATCAAAATAAAAATAAAATAAAAATAAAATAAAAAATCACGACGTTTCGGAGGCAACACAAGTCTCCGTCATCAGGTGGGACCGTCACAGCCGAATTAGCTGCATCAAGTGAAGCAATGATTCAAGATGTAATCCCTTATAAGCAAGTTGAAGGGAGGTGGAGAGGGGGGAGAGCTTATCAGACTGTTGTAGCCAATGAATGGAAACGTATCGGGAGGGAGGAGGAGCGGCGATCAAAGACTGCACGCAGTGCTCATTGTGTTGAGCACTGCGTGCAGTCTTTGATCGCCGCTCCTCCTCCCTCCCGATACGTTTCCATTCATTGTGTTGAGCACTGCGTGCAGTCTTTGATCACCGCTCCTCCTCCCTCCCGATACGTTTCCATTCATTGGCTACCACAGTCTGATAAGCTCTCCCCCCCCTCTCCACCTCCCTTCAACTTGCTTATAAGGGATTACATCTTGAATCATTTCTTCACTTGATGCAGCTAATTCGGCTGTGACGGTCCCACCTGATGACGGAGACTTGTGTTGCCTCCGAAACGTCGTGATTTTTTATTTTTATTTTATTTTTATTTTGATGTTTTACTTACGTGACTTAACCGAAAAAACCTAAGAATATGAATCTCTGCAGTCACGAAAGCTTCAAATCTAGAATAAAAATAGTTTAGTTTCGTTTTAATCGCTTGCTTATCCAGTGATGGTGGAAGGCCCTCCACTACAGAGGAGTCTTTGGTTTATTTGTGATACTCTTCCACACTGGTCAGATGTCTCGGAAGAGATGGAAGTTCCCACACTTTACCCCACCACACACGACCTGACAATCGACTGTGCTGAACCCATTTACACTGCTGCCTGCAATGGCGGAGCCAGGATTTTCAGGTAGGGGGGTCAACCCCTCCAGCAATGAAAAATCATAGAGGAGTTGTTGGGAAGGACTTGTCCCTTGCTTTTTTGTTCGACGCGTTTGCGGCGATGGCGCAGCCATCGATCCAGAATCGAATTCGAACCGTGTGTGATCGACATCGTGCTCGCTGAAGGTGAATGCCTTCAGGGAAGTCGTGTACTGTATACGCAACTGCGCACAATTCTGTGAGTCAATTATAACTGCTTTGCCGTTACTTACTGCCAATTATTGACTCAGACTATTGTCCTATCATCTCATAGAGTCCTTGGCACGTAATATTATGCTACACAGTGGCAGTGGGGGTCGCAAAATGCCGATATATTACTAAACCCCAATGAGCCGATCGAAATTAGGGATTTCGATCGGATCATTGGGGGGGCGGTGGGTGAGGGTGGGAAACTGAAGCGACTTACGCCATAGTTATAACTGCCGCAGTGGGCGAGATGGAACCTCTGGGCTGAACCATTGCACTGAGTCCCGAGTGTATTTGTTTAACCAGCTGAGAACGCAACATAACGTCCTGTCAAAACGGTAGGAGGAAATGATTAGGCAAAGCAGGGGGTCGCCAAACCCCAATCGTCAGACATTGTCAGGTCGCACTCACTCCACGCAACGTGCTTGCCACAAATGAACCAACCATACCTTGCTGATCTCGTCAAAAGCATCAACCATCGCGCGAACTCCAGTTCAACCTCGCAGCGGCTTCTGGCTGGCCATCGGACAAAGACGGCGACCGCATCGCGCTTCTGCTGCCGTCTGGAACGCTCTTCCTTTCCATTTTTAGGAAGCCACTGCAACAATGTACTTTTTAATTTCGATTTTATTCACAATAAAGGTTTCATGGGTTAGATCGCGTGAATATAAATGTGTCGTTCACCCCCCCTCCACCCGACGGCCAATTAGCAAAGTTTATCACGTGAACAAAACGTGCCAATTAGTTAGTACTTCCGCACACCAGTGTGTCGGAGGGTAAACACACAATATTTACAATGTGAGTACCTTTCGCTGGTGATTGCATCCAGCTTTATCGGGCGATTTACCTACAATTAGTCGCGAAAGCCTCCGTGTTATGAACTTCTTTAGAACTGCTTTATAACGTAAATGTTGTTGTCCTTCCCCGCTGCACCTCCGATTAGCGCCGTTGGCTTACGAAGTTCAACATTAAACACATACGTCTCATCATCGCCGATATCTTGGCCGGGTCATTCCTTATTCCATTAGCCAGCCCCTCCTTCATGGCTCCCATCGCGAAGGCACCTGCAACAGCTGACCCTCGCTTCGGAGATGTGGCCCAGGGTCCGCTCCTGTGCACCGCGCTCTCGCCGTGAGCTCGCCAGAGTCAGCGACGGGCGCCCACGCGCGGCGCATGTCAGAGCGTGCGCGCCGCTACTCGAGCAGAGGGGCTATTCCTGCGAGTCTTCGGGATTCTAAATGGCTTCCAATTGCATGGGAGGTAGTCGTTGGTTTGTATAGAGCTTCCATTAGCTCCGTAATGATGACCGAGTGAAAACAAACGCCCGTTAAGTGGCTGTCGGGGACGACCAATAAGACCGGGAAGACTGCATCTACGAGGCTCTTATCAAGATTAAACACAGGTGCGCATATGTTGCATAAAAACCGTGGATAGATACGTAAACAGCAACAGCAGATGCTCTGTAATGGATTAATTTTAATGTATGGTAAGCACTAATAAGCGTGCAGTTCAGTCGAACACCGTTTATGTAAATGTGAAAAAAAATCTACAATGTTCTCTTTAATCTATTTTAGAACATTGCTGCTCATTAATTGCAAATTGTATTAATTTAAGCAATGGGGTTTTCTGCAAAATAATATTTGTATATTTTTTTGCAGGAATACTGACAATAACCTGAGGCTCCTCTACATCGAACCGCTGCTCCATATGCCGGCCGTGTCTCCCCAATCAGGTTTGCTGGGACCATACTTCACCGGGGTTGCTTGACCATACTTTACTGACAACAGTGAGTGGGGGTTGGTGACGTGGGAAGAGTGGTGGCCAGGACCGAGTCACAAATTACTCACCAACTAATGTTTAACCCACAACTGATAATTATTATAAAAAATCAGCCTTTATAATGCAACGCACAAAAAACATTTCACCACTGCTCCTACCACACTCCCCCCCCCCCCCCCCATGTGTTGCAGCATTGCACATGAAAACAAATTTGATTTAAAATATTACTCTCGTCGGTCTGAGATCAAAAGAACAATTTATGAACGCGCCTTGCGGTTCATACCTGCAGACTTAAATATTTTATGGACATATATACGACATATATACGACGAATTTTAATTTTTAGACTACGTTCATGGTATGCAAATTCTCAGCACAGAATTAAATATTTAAGACCTCGCACTCTTATATCACGAAACGTATAATAACACAAAACACACGTTCCAGTTAATAGCCTTATTACATTCGTTGCACGAAGCCACCAGTGTTAACTGGATCTGCAGATGCAACAACCAAAAACCTCACACCAAAATGTAAAAACACAAACATGAAGAAAATACTTTTTTTTGCACAACATTTAAATGGCAAAAGTGAAACTTTGGACCGATTTCTAAATTACTTTTTACGGTGGGGGGATTATTCGGATTGGGCACAAACACATGAGATTTAAAGTGATCTCTCAAAGTGCAAAGTCATCTTCCCGATCTGCACAGCAGCTTAGCATGCACCGACAATTAGATGCTTTATATGAATACACATTAGATCGCTGCACTTGAAAGCACGAACAGGCTTTGCAAAATCTCTTCATATATAATTTTAAAAAATGTAATCACAGCTGCTACCGAGATTGCAGTTGGTTATCATCACGGTCGTTTCCAAGGATGCGTTAATCCGGTTATTCGTAATCCTTATATCAATGGGAAATAAGAATAACAAAACTTTAAAGTCACGAAAAAATTACGATTAATCATCACAGGCCCCAACAACAAAACTCAAATAAGCAGTCGCAAAAACTCCTCCCTATATAAACAAGCATTTTATTTCTACTTGCAACATTTCTTGTTCTCGAAAATCTTACGTCATATTAGTAAACAATGGTTGGGTTTTGCAGAACTGAACACGAGTCATATTTGGGGTGGTCCATGTAGGTAAATGTTTATTTTAAATGTTTCCACGCAGAAGCATATACAGTACTTGATATATTCTTGCCAAATGTAAGTTTTCAAGCGAGAACTTATTTGAACTCAATTTCAACATTTAGGTTTTGCGATGTTCAAATAAGATACCACTTTTGAATTTATATATTTTTTTAACATTGTATTTAGAAAGTTGCTTCTTTCTGTGCAATTCTTGGGCATCTTTGAACAACTCAATTAAGAATGGGGGTTGGGTCAGGTGGGGAAATAAAAACATCGAGAATTTTATTTCACACTAAATTTCAGCTTTATATACTTTCGATAACAGCTGTAACATCATCCTGATTTTACGTCCATTACACAATCAATTACAACTCGACATATATATATATATTCTTTGGGTCTTTCGCTAAAGCCACGTAGATAGAAAAAATAACAAAAATAAAAATTCACCACGTTTCGATCGCAACACAAGCAATCGTCTTCTGGTGAAAAAGAGGGAAATCTGCTGAGGCAGGCTGTTTATAAAGGTTCAGAGATGGGCGGGGCAGCTAATGTTAGCGAGTAGGAGAGAGAAATGTGCTTGTAAATGTAAATGTAAGTTCGGCGGGGGCCAAACTCGGCTAGGGCCCGGACGACGCAGTGGCAAGTCGCCATTTACTAACACACCTAAAGGTTGGCTGTGTTAGTGAATGTAACTCAAAGAGTCCAAAATAACTAGCCTTAGTGTCGCGGCATCTCTTCAGAAAAGTGAGTGGACATATATGTTACGTATGGAATGTCAGGGTCTCGTGCAGTGGGATATTGTGAAGGTACACTTCCTTCCAATGGTGCCCGCGGTAGAAAGTAGGCCAAACATCCGAAGCGAGCAATTGCAAATGTTTAAACCATCTTGTCCTCTCACGATGCTGCTTTTCAGGACAAGATTCACGAGCCTGAACATCTTTTACCATCTAAGAATTTGTCAATAATGGCCTTGAATGCTAGTCTCTGAGCTTTGCACGTGTGACTGGAGACACAGCGTAGCTGTTGTTACTAGTGAGAGTGGACAGATCCCAAAGGAGGGAGCAGTAAAATAATATAACTTTTCACTGGACCCCGCTGTTTTGGTGAAAATTCCATAACTAAATTGTCACCGCGGGTATGAAGCACGAACATTATTCCATCAAGACCCACATATTGAGCATAAACAATTTGGGCGTTTGTGACGGATTAAAGAAGGCAGCCAGGCTTGGGCAGAGACCTGCTGTTCCGTGAAAACTTTGTGACTCAAACTTACCTGGCATGTGACTGCACCTGCTAACTTGAATTACCTTAATGGAATCAAGGAGCGGAGCAATAGGGTATATAACATTTTTCAATAAGTTTGCACTTTGCGTCGAGAAACATTCGCCCTGGAAGCTGCAAGTACAGTGCTAGTGCTTCACGGACCACGGTGGCGAGATGTTAACTTACTCACCTGGTATACAAGAGGTCGTGGGTTCGAACCCGGACCCCTGACACCTGTATATTTGGAGTTTTCCCTGTGGTCGAGTGGAATTTTCTCCGGGTCCTCGGGATTTCTTTCCTCCACATTTTCGAAACACGCGTCTGGAGTATTTGGATGCTATGTCTACATGATGTTAAGCCACTTCGTAAGGCTATCATTTGTGATACCTAGGCTGCTTCTGAAAAAAGAGCGAAATAGCCCAGTGGGCCTTACCTGGTAAAATAAAAAAAATAGCTTAGTTTTTAGTTTTAGCACAAGCTTAAAACACATGACATAGCTGGTCTTCAGCATTAAAAGCTGAATCTTTGGTGCCGTTTTGGCTGCATCGCCTTTGAGCAGAGAGCGCGCGAGCTCAATGGGAATTACCTGAAAACCTATCTACGACCGACTCGCGAGTAAAAATTTGCTGTGCTCAACAAGTACCGCACACCATCCTGATTTGAAATGTGTAGAACCCATTCAAATCCGATTGGTCGTCAGGATAATTTGAAAGAGCTCGGGGGATGGTTGGGGGGGATAAAGTATAAACGAGGGGGTCGATTGGGAGGACGTTGGGAGAAAGGAAGGTGATTGGTGGAAAGTTGGGGAATCTTATTTTACCTTCAGGGAATGTATACAGCACCTTAATCAAGGCGCTTTACAGATAATTAACAATGCTACAACACCGCGTGTAAATGCAATGGTGGAGATGATGTGAATGAAATAGATGAGAGGAAGTAATGGGGGCAAATCTGTGATGATGCGTGAATTCGGTGAAAGCTAAATTCATGATAGTAAATGATGATGAATGGATTGAATGAATGGGGGTTAATGAGTGATAGGCATATGAGAATATGAAGATGAAACAGTAATGGTGGCGGTTATGACGGGGAGAATAAGGGGGGGGGGGTCGTGGAGTAAGCTGGGGAACAAGAAGTGAGTTTTGAGTGAGGAGCGGAAACTTAGCGTGCGAGGGTGACCACTTAATGTGCAGGGGAAAGTTTGGTCCAATGAAGAGAGAGACAGAGAGAGAGCGAAAGTGTGTATTGAGCACAAGCAGGAGGAACACACAGAGAGAGAGCCGCCATGAACTCCCGAACGGACGGCAGCCTCCATGGTCGGCACGCGGCTTCGTGCAGCGCCGCCGGACGCGGAGCCTCCTTAGCGTCATCTCGTGTCCCACTCCAAATGGTTGCTGTTGACCACACCGTGCCCTCTGAGGGTGAAATGGCGGCCAGTGACTGCGTGGTTTTTGCTGTTGGGAATCGCTGCTGCAGACAGCAGCTAAAGCGAGCTCCGCGGCTCCCTCTCTGTCAACTGGATGGCAGGCGTGGACTCGGAGAGCTGTGCGACCAGCCGGCCGACGGTGGCGAGAAGCAGGTCGAGGCGGTTGACCACCTCGCGTCACCCATCCTCAGCGCGCGACTCCGGAGGATCGGTACCCCTCTCCTGGTGATCCATAGCTGCCGCTCCCACACCCACGGGATTTCTAACCAGGGCCCCTGGTCCTAGGGCTCTCGGAGGGATGACCGTCTCGCCGTCCTCGTCCTCTGACGACACAACAGGTGGGTTCCTCTTCTTGGTAAGCTTCTCCATAACGATTATATAACACCTACTGCCAGTAATAACGTTGCAACCACTTCTGACACGACTTGTAGTGTCAGTGATTCAGAGACGAGGTTTGTAGGAGGCAACTTCTATTCAGAACATTCACGGTCTCGTCCACACACTCCCTACAGTCGCTTAGTCTAGCCTATACACAAACTAGCCGTCTAACACTGACGGCGCTGACTGAGACAGCTAACTACTTCTAGCAGTGCAATATCGAGCAAAGATGGCAGCGACGATGGCAACGAGACGATAGCAACGACGAGACGAATCCAATCCCAGAACCGGCAGTGGGTTCCAGGGGCTTCCAGATGGAGTCCTCCGTGACCCTTGCCCTAGTTCCTCCGCCTTGCCAACGCACGCGAGCACACGCTCATCGGCATGTGTACTGTCTGTCCACCACAGTTGTCGCTGCTGCCCAGCAGCCAGCACTCTTCCACTACATATGTATGTTGAACTTCTTTTGCGGGGTAAGAACAACAAACTAAACACAAAAAGCAGATCGAAACAAATGGGTGAGTAGACCTGTGGTGTCAAGACTTCTCTGTCCAATCTCATCTCTCTCTCTTATGATTACATGTTATTATTGGTATAGTGTAACACGTAGGCTGTCGCAACCAATATTTTCCATAAAATATTTTTTTTTGGGTTAGATCGCGTAATATTAATGTTGTTAAACCCGCCACCACCCAACACAGTGAATTATGAAGGTTTGTCATGTAAACAAAACATGCCAATTCGGTACTTGTACAACACACCGGTGTGTTAGAGAGTAAACCCACGATGTTTTCAACGTCGTGGGTTTACCTGCCACCACCCAACGCAACATTGGCTGTGTTGGGTGGTTGTGGGTTTAACGACACATTTATATAATTGGAACCTCATTTGCCAGTAGCAAAATATGAAAACTGTTTTTTTACCCTTTTATCTGGCAACAAAACTGACACCTTTTTTTAATATGACACATTTATACTTACGCGATCTAACCCAGAAACCTCTTATAGGTTATTTTTACACTTACTTAGCCAGAAAATCCTGAGTCTCAAGACTCCATTTCAGGAGAGCCCTGCCACAGTTTAACACGAGACGGTGTTATTCGTAATTCCAATTGAGTAATTTTCACATAGAAAATATATTGCCTTTGGATGGTTGGGCCATTGTATATTTGTTTTGTTGTCGGGTAGAAACCAGAGGAACCAGAGACAACTCATGCAGCATAGGGGGAGAACGTACAGAGAATGTACAAACTCTGCATAGAAAATGTGGCCGAGCCGTGAATCGAATCCATTACCCTTTTTGCTGTGAGGCGCGAATGTTACCACTGCGCCACACTAGGACCCTGTACCTTAATAATAAGTCTCACCTTTGATCATATCTACTTTTTTCATGTGTACAGTATTTTTTTAAACATAACTCCTCGTGTCTACGAATTCAATTTCTTGTCCCGCAACTCTCTTCCGTATACATTCCCATCTTCGAGCTCGCTTCTGAATACACGTCTTGACTCAGGTATATCTCGTCCAAATACTGTACATCTCTCATCCCCCTCTTAAAATGTGTCTCCTGCAAATAGGAGCCATGTTTATCACATATCTCTTTGTCCATATTCAAGGGTCACGGGAGGACGCTGTAAATAAATAGATACTTAAAGGGGTAAGGGTGTGACACGGGATTGGGCAGAGGGATTTAAGTTAGGGGGGGCGGGGGATGGTGGGAAATGAGATGACGTGGTGACAGGCGTTCGTGGGGCAGTTAAGGAAGAAATCGGAGTCAGTATCACTGTAATGTCTTCGTCGTAGCTGTGGATCGGGCATGGCGATCTAGGCGACATCACAGCGATAAAACTCCACTGCTTATAACGCGGTTGTCCGGCGCGACCACCTGAATGCGAGATTTGTAGTAGTTGCTCTGCATTTGCATCAGCAGCCGTACGACAGAAAAGGGAGAGGCAATAAAGAAGAGAGCTGGCAGCAGAGAAGAGGAGGAGCAGACGGAACCTTCTGGAAGGTTTGAGAAGGAATGGGGTGGGAGAGGCATGGCGATAACACGATGTCTTTGACAGTGAAGCGTCCTACGACTGCGCGTGTGTGGTGCGAGCAAGAATAAAGTGCCTTACCCAAACGACGACTCGTGTGGACTCCCTTTCACATACATATACATTTTTTTAAATGCATTGCCTGCATCATATCTATCTTCACACATATATATCATACATCTCTTATATATATGTATCGACTGTATCTGCTGATTACATCCTCTAGCTCTCTCTCTCTCTCTTTGATATGAGTTAAATGCATCTTCTCTCTCTCCTGGACAAGCTACCTTCTGAATAACATCTCCCATCTCTCAGTTTCTTCCATGTCTGGCTGTTCCCGAGTGCTCATCCCTGAGGCGTGATTGCATGTTTGTGCCATGTGAATACTGAATCGAAGGATGCTGTGCACGCCCGGAGCGAAATGATCACTTCTAACAAACGCACGCAACACACAAATGATTCTCAATTACGTTGCGAGAATCGTCGAGGTGCTGCCCATTACCGAAAGCTTTGAACGAATGGCTCACCGAGCACTGAAGGGTGGCCTCAGAAATGTGACGGGGTCAAGATACTTTCACAAGTAAAATAACTCAAAATATCCCCATGAAAATAGCGCACCTGCAAATGCACTCCACATATATATCTGCAAGATTTTTCGCAAGAATACGGAATGTGCTTTTTAACTTCAGTTGACGGCGGAAACAGGGCAAATTAAATTTGAGAAACAACATACTTGATCAAGTGCTGTATTTGATTATGGGTGTGCACGGGAGTCATGCACTATCACACACGTTGATGTAATACATGCAGAGGGATATAGCCCCATTGCATTATAGAACCGTAACGGCCACGTGAGACGAAGTAATTTTTTTCCCAAAGAATGTAATTTTCGCAGCAGAAACAACATAACAAAGATACAATTTTCTCTGACGTTACCGGTAAAAATAACATCACCAATTGTTAAATATACTGTGCGTTCCGCTTGGAACCACTTACAAGCTGTTAGTCATGTTAAGGCATTTAATCTGCACAAGACAAATGAAAACAATTCTGGCAGTGTGCGCACATTTTTCTGCAGATTAGAGAGCACACTCCTTTTCATAATACTCTCACTGGTAGCTTTTCATTTAAAAAACGGAGCGAGAGCGTCGGTCGTAAAGCCTCTTCGTCAAAACAAAACGCATTAAGACTCAACTTGTTCGATCAAAGACAACGGGCCAGGAGATTAAAATATTTCTCCAGAAATGGCCAACAAGTGTCGTCTTGGAAAATCCTAATCGTGCTCGCATTGCCGTATCCGTTTCATTGTCATGGCGAAAAGCTACCACGGCAGAATGATGTTTCATGCACTATTATAATCAGCAGTACTTTCACAACAGGGGGCGATGCTGCTATGTGACCTTTATTCGAATAAAGTATTATGTATTTTTTTAATTTTGTTAAAATTTAGAAAGTCACACGTGGCCTACTGATCGTCGAAGAACGTCGTGGGATGTTGAACGTTTCCTGTGAAGCGTGGTATTTTTTTCACGGTTAATGCAAGCGAGGTGTTAACCAGGGTGGCCGCAGGGCTTGGACTGCGATTTCTCTGCAACGGAAGGTGGCAAATGCGCTGCCGCTCGGCCGCATCACCGTCGATGATTTTCCTCTCATCGTTTATGATGGACGCGTCGGGAGGTTTAGGTCTAAAAAACAAAAGACAAATGAATGCTCACCGAAATATGCATTTGGCACCAGTGTCTCCATCCTCGATTGAGAATTGGACGGCGATTTATTTTTACGTTGTCCTCTCTCAGCCAGTGGTGGAAAATCCCCATAAGACGACCATTGGTTGACTTCCCATTAAGTGCCACGCAAAGCCTATCCAGCAGGTGTTCGTTTTACCAATACTGAAGAGATAAAAAAAAAGGATTCAGATGACCCCTTTGTGGAATTTGAATTCACAATCTCACAACTGGGAGACCCGCTGTGGTGCCCTAGCCATTTCAAATCAGTGATTTGTTATTAAATAAATAATAAACAAGCACATTCCACCCAGTCTCGATCGACAAAGACCCCCTCCCAATCCCCCACGCTGTGTCATCTCTGTCATGGGAGTTACTTTGCCATACCTCACCAATCTGAGTTGGTGAAGGGGCAAGCATTGCGCCACTGATGTTAGCTGCGATGGGAATTGAGCTCGGGGTGGCTGGGCACGTCGCACGTTGCACAAGGCGGACGGTGACGTGGCCTACCGGTAAGTACGCCCAGCCGCTTGGTTGCAGGTGGATTTGAGGTTTGAATCCAGCGGCCGCCCCGATTAATACTGCGGGTTTAATAACAGCAAAAACACACGCCATCTGCTTCACAGTGGACGATTGAGATCCCGTGATGTATTTACAAAAAGTATAGACCATTGTGTGCCGGCGTTATGGTCCAAATATCAAAATGACCTGCACGTCACTACAGTAGTCCCTCGTTATTCACGAACTTGCAATCTGCGATTTTGGCTATCTGCGAATTGCATCTCGGCCTTTACACGACTACTGCATCGAGAGAGAGAGAGAGAGACAGAAAGTGATGAGAGAAAGAAAGTGATGAGAGATAAATTGATGAGCTAAAGTGATGAGATAAAGATGACAGAAATGGAGAGATACTTCTCGAAGCATTAGAAGCATCTGCAGACGTGATGATTGCAAGTTCGAGGTTTGAATCCAGCGGTCCTCCCATTAATACTGCGGGTTTAGTAACTGTAAAAATATATGCCATCTGCTTCACGGTTGATGTTAGAGATGCAGTGATGTTGTTCGCAAGAGCAGGCCGTTGAATTTTGTGGTTGGGGTTATGATCCAAATTTGTCCCATTTTAAACATTATAGCCCGTTCTCCTCTATACGTGGTAGTTGTGTTCCTGAAGGACACCGCATTATGGAAAAATCGCATTATAATATACTATACACACACACATGGACTCACACACACACATACACAGACTCACACACACAGACACATATGCACTTACACACACATATTGACGAACACACACACACATGGACTGACACACACACATGGACGCACACACACATTGACTTACACACACACATGGACCCACTCACACACATCGACTTACACACACACACACATCGACTCACACACGCACATAGACTGACACACACACATGGACGCACACACACACATTGACTTACACACATACATGGACTTAGAGACACATTATTATTGTAAAAAATACGAACTTAATTGTTAAATATTAGTTGTCTACAAACACACACCATGCACACACATTGACTGACACACACACATATCGAATCAGGTACACACACAGCGACTTGCACACAGACATCGACTTATACACACACACGGACGAACACACACATCGATGCACACACAAACGCATCGACTTACACACACACACATATCTACTGACACACACACATCGACTGACGCATGTACACATCCACTTGCACACATCGTCTTATACACACACACGGACGTACACACACAAAGACTCACACACACATACATAGACTCACACATACATCTACCTACACACACACACATATGCACTTACGCACATATTGACTAATACACACACACATAGACTTACACACATCGACTTACACACACATCGACTCATACACGCACATATAGCCACTCACGCATCCACTAACATGCAGAAATATCGACGAACACACACAACGACAGACACACACACATTTACTTACACACACATAGACTTACACACACACAAACATATCGACGTACACACACACATCGACTGACACACATCGACCCACACACAAATACATCGACTTACACACGCACATATGTCGACTTACAAACGCACATGGACTCATACAGACACACATTTAGACGTACACACACACACATCGACTGACACACAAAGACCCACACACACAGACACATCGACTAACACACACAAACACATTGACTCACAAACACACACATACATAGACTCACACGACATGGAACTCTGCACACACATATGGAATTACACACACACACATATGGACTAATACACACACATGGACTTACACACCGCACACATCGACTGACACACACACATCGACTTAAACACACACCGCACACATGGACGTAAACAAGAAAACACAGCGACTGTCCCACACACATTGACTCACACACACATTGACGCACACACACACGGACTCGCACAGACACAACGCACATGTTGAGGCTGCTGGCCCCCGGGTCTACCCTGGCGGGGGGCCGGCCAGAGGGGGGCCGCCGTCTCCGGATCCTTCACTCATGTGAGAGCCGCTGCTGCTGAGGAATGGAATCCGCTCCCCGCTGCCCTCCATGGTGGCGCATCGCTGGCGGGACTGCACGTTGAGCCCCAACTTTTCCAGGTCGGTACCTGCAATACACTCGTGGCACAACACACTCGAGACGTAGAACTCCTGGGTGCACACCTGGCATCCTATGCGGACCTCCAGGGTGGCCCTCCCCAATAGCCCCCTCCCGGCTTTGCTCGCCATGTGCAGTGCACGGTCCGGGGCCTGTAGGCGGCTCACGTCGACCCTGATCATGCTGCAGTGCACCGAGCGAGGCCACCTCCCCCGTGTCCAGCAGGATCCAGGTACGCCGCCCGTTGACCTGCCCTTCCACCAGCAACGTGGCCCCCGTGATTCCCGCCACCAGCTCCCGTAGCCAGTCGCCTGGAGTCACTGCGCCCTTGGGTGTTGTTGCTGGGATCTGTGTAGAGGTCACTCGCTCGCCATTATTCGCGGGAGAAGGGCTGCCGCTCTCCAGCTCTTCTCCCCGCGCCGTAGCCCCTCGAGTCCGCGAGTCCTGCTTGTGGGGCATAGCTCGGGGTGGCACAGGACTGCCTGAAATCAACCTGTCGCTTCTCAGCCACTCAAATTCGATGTCTCCGCTCGCACAACCCTGCGCACCAATCAAACGCGCTGAACGGGGGGGTCAGGGGTCGGAGGGCAATGACATCGCTCGCACACACGCTACCGCTGTGGGTGGGTAATGGGGAGCAT